ATTTCCTATCAAGATACCCCTGAGTGTGTCAGTCAACTTCCTGTTGCTTATAAGATGTGGGACTCTCAGCTACCTTGCCAGGACTGTGTGTGCCTGCACACTTCCATGCTCCCCACTAGGATGATAATGAACTGAACCTCGGAAACTATAAACAAGCCATCCCAATTAAATAGTTTCCTTTTAAGAGATGCCATGACATTGTGTCTATAGAACCTAGACAATAGAAACCTAGACAACCTTAGACAACATCACTCTGGCAGACATCATTCATGGTAGTAGTGTGGAGATAAGGAGGTCATTGGAGTGTGGTATGCAGCCAGGGTAACCATACTGTTGAGCTTCCAGTCCAGTGTGAGTCACTGTCTCAAACACTATGTCACAGAAAATTTCAGGAAGAAAGAAACCAACATCTTCCAAGGACTTCCATATGCTACTGTAAAACTCCAAGTGCCCTCTTATCACAGGAATGCAGCACACATACACACACACAGACAATATAAACACATTACAAACTGGTTTGAGTTCCTGCAAGCATTTAGCCAAGGATATGTTTTAAATGGTTGTAGCTTTGTTACCTGGCTATAATTCCACATTATAATTCCAATTCTACATATGCTCTTTGGAACCAGTTTTCTGTAACTCTAGGAGGATTCATTATACTTAAATGTATTATTTATTTTCTATTCCTGGGTTAAAATGCAATCACTAGAACAATTTATAGAAGGAGGAGTTTATTTGGGCATATGGTTCTAGAGGGATAGTAAGAAAGCATAGAAGCAAGCAGCAGGTTTGAAAGCAAGAATGGAAAACTGAGAGATCACATCCTTATTAACAAGCACAAAGCAGAGGAAGCAGATTAGAAGTGGCCAAAGCATTTACTCTCAAAGTCTAACATCCTCTCTCCCGTGGCGTACTTCATCCAGCAAGGCTGTACCACCTAATCCTCCCCCAAGAAGTGCTACAAGTTGTGAACCATGTGTTTAAAGACCTGAGACTAGGGGACATTTCTCATTTAAACCATCATTCCCAGTCATCAATAAAAAAAGGATATCTGCTAAAACTACCTCTGGTAAATACCCTATAGCACAGAGATGCTAGCATTACACAAAGATAAGAAAAAGGCATAAAACAAGAAAGAAACATTCACTTTTTTTCACAGACACCATGATGATATACCTCTAGATAATCCCAAATAATCCAGAGAAATTTATGATGATAATAATAAAATTTATCAATGACACTAAATGCCTAATATATACCACTCAAATAGACTTTAAAAATATATTAATGTCAATGCAGGCTATGGTGGTGCACAACTTTATTCGTAGCGCTGGAGAGGCAGAGGTAGATGGATCTATGGTGTGAGGCCAGCCTGGTCTATAGACCAAATTACAGGATTGCATGGGTGTGTGTGTGTGTGTGTGTGTGTGTGTGTGTGTGTGTGTGTGTGTGTAATATCAATTTTATTTGGGGTACATTATATTTAAAAGAGCATATAAAGATCTACTCCCTGCTGTACTTAGGAAAATTGACATCCTCTCCAGTTTCACACTATGATGGAAGATAAATATAGTTAGGCAGAAAATTCCCAGTGGCTCAGTTAGTGTCCTTAGCATCCTGATATAGCTATGTTTAGGCTATTCACATCCATACAGGTGGGAGATTACTATTCACTGGAGGTTCACTCATGCACACATATACAAATTCACATGCATAGAGAGAGAAAAAGGGAGAGACAGGGAGAAAGAATAATAGAATAACATGTTCCTTCTGTGATTGCCTCTCAAGGTCTCAATAGAGGTTTTATTTTCCTGAATGCTAAAGATGTGAAAAGACTTCACCCATGGATAATTGTTTTCTTGAGTAACATATCTAATCTTTAGGGTAAGCATCAGATTTCTACATTGGTTTTGTAGTCTTCTTATGAAAGAAAAGAATACAGGGTAGAAAGGATGGTAAGGTTCAGATAGTCTTGTCTCTTAACATTTGAGAAAGCTCCATGGATCATCTTGGAAGTCTACATCACCATATAATTTACTTACTTTTCACTTTCAATTAACAGAACATGGCAACCAACAACAGCAGGTATGAGTGAAAATATTTATCTTGTGCAAGTATGGAAAGAAAAAGAATGATATATATTTATCCCAAAACTTTCAATTTTAATATTGTCTTTCTTTTCAGAGAACTGCTTCTCTTCCACAGTTATTATATAATTATTTCTCAACTATAAGTGTCCCTAGAACTCATCTCCTCCGTCATTATTGTTTGAAAAAAAGTATAAAAGTATAAAAAAGCATGGACACAAACTGTATGAACCACATGCAAGAAAAATAGGGAAGCACAAATAGTCAAAGAGAGAATGATGCACAAGAAAGAGAAATTAGCCTTTATTGGGAGGAAAATTGCATTTATTGCATAGTCTGTGATCTTTAGGGATATTTTCTGTTACAGAGAAAATTCTGGAATCCTCTACAATGAACTTCCAACACTCATGTCACTTCTGAATGGCAGCAGCCTGACTCCAGCTTCCTTTATCCTCAATGGCATCCCTGGTTTGGAAGAGGTGCATTTGTGGATCTCCTTCCCACTGTTTGCCATGTACAGCATTGCTCTTACAGGGAACTTTGGACTCATGTATCTTATCTACTCCGAAGAAGTCTTCCACAAACCTATGTACATCTTCCTAGCCCTGCTTTCCTTCACAGATGTGCTCATGTGCACCAGCACTCTTCCCAACACTCTCTGCATATTGTGGCTCAATCTCAAGGAGATTGACTTCAAGGCCTGCCTGGCCCAGATGTTCTTTGTGCACACTTTCACAGGGATGGAATCCGGGGTGCTGATGCTCATGGCCCTAGACTGATACGTGGCCATCTGTTACCCATTGCGCTATGCCACTATCCTCACTAATGTGGTCATTGCCAAGGCAGGGATGCTCACTTTTCTAAGGGGTGTGATTCTTGTCATCCCTTTTACATTCCTCACCAAGCGCCTGCCATACTGCAGGGGTAATGTCATTACCCACACCTACTATGACCACATGTCTGTCGGTAAAATATCATGTGACAGTGTTGCGATCAATGCCATATATGGATTAATGGTTGCTCTCTTCATTGGGGGATTTGACATCCTGTGCATCACAGTCTCCTACACCATGATCTTATGGGCAGTTGTGAGTCTGTCATTAGTAGGTGCTCAACAGAAGGCTTTCAGCACATGCACTGCTCACATCAGTGCCATCGTCATCACCTATGTCCCAGCCTTCTTCACCTTCTTTACAAACCGCTTTGGGCGACATACCATCCCTCCCCACATACACATCATTATGACTAATCTCTATCTATTCATGCCTCCCACCATGAAGGCAGGATTCATGCATGGCATTCAAGGTGAACATCAGAAATTCGTGGGCATCTTCCTGCTTCTGCCTGTGGAAGCTGTAGTCAAGTTTGTCGAGGGCTGCATGACATCTGTGGAGTCTCCTCTGATTCACTTGAGCTTCCAGAGCACACATTGTGCAGCCTCCTGGGTGGTGACAGCAGCTCTGAGAGTGCTCCCGGGAGAGCATGTAGTTGGCGAGTGGAGGCGTGTGTGTCAGACACTGCAAGGCTGCATTAAGGTAGCAGCTGTTGCCTGTGTTCAGGAGACCCGCACCCATGCTGAGGGGCCTCCCCCAACTCGCAATGTGCTTGCTCCTGGCAGCCAGCTCTGCTGTCCCCTGAGCATTATCCTGGTGGAGGTCTGGGGCCAATGGATATGACAAGGCTGAATCTGCTGAAACATAAGAACATGAAGAGACTTCAGAATCTACAACATGGCTTGACGACTTGCAACCTATAAAGGCCTTCTTGTTAGACTCAACTTCTGAGAGCCTCTGAGCTGCCTCCATATCTCCAGCTGCCACTTCCAAACACCTTGCTGCAGACTTCTCTGGGAGCAGGTGGATGGATGCTACTCTCTTCTACCAAGGAATCCAAGAGAACACCTGGCCCAAAAGCTGATGCTTTTATACCTCCTTCCTATGGCCACACCCACTAACCCCTGCAGGGACAGCCAATCCCCTACAAGCCTCCAATTACCATAGGCAATTTAGAGTGTGGCTTATGCAAAGCAAAACTAAAATCTGATCTGTTTGGTGGCCGTTACCCTATGAGTCTCAAACTTTGATTTCCCTTGTACAAAAAAATTATGAAACCACATCAGATAAAGAAATCAGGAGTAGATCAGCCATACAAGTCTCCTTTGCTGGGCATTGTTGTACATGCATTTAATTCCAGCACTTCCCAGGCAGGAGCAGGCAGACCTTTGTGAGTTTGAGGCCACCCCATTCTCTTGAGCGAGTTCCAGGACAGCCTTAAAAGCAATATAGAGAAATGCTGTCTCCTAAAACAAAAACAAAAACAAACAAACAAAAAGCCTTTTAACTGTATGGCTAACTAGTGGGAAAGGTGAGTAAACAATCAGGAACCACAGATGCAAGCATAATCAACAGAATACAAGAGATGGAAGACACAATCTCAGATGCTGAAGATAACCTAAAGGAGATAAATTCATCAAGCAAAGAAAATCTTAAATCCAACAAATCCTTAACACAGAATACCCAGGAAATATGGGACACCATGAAAAGACCAAACCTAAGGATAATAGGTATAGAAGAAGGTGAAGAAATCCATTTCAAAGTGCAGAAAATACCACTACCAACAACAAAACAAAACCAACAAGAATAAACACTCAATGTTCCTTAATTTCCCTCAATATTAATAGTCTTAACTCGCCTATAAAAAGACACAGGCTAACATAATACAGAATACAAAGACAGAATCCATCCTTCTGCTGCATGCAAGAAATACAGCTCAAATTCAAAGACAGACATTATTACCTCAGAGTGAAGGGTTGTATAAGATATTCCAATCAAATGGACCAAAGAAAGGAGCTGGGTAGCCATCCTATTATCTAGCAAATTAGATTTCAAACTAAAATCAATCAAAAGAGATGAAGAAGGTCATTTCATATTAATCACAGGAAAAATCCATCAGAAAGAAATCTCAATTCTGAACATCTATGCCCGAAAAACAAGGGCATCAACATTCGTAAAAGTAACATTATTAAAACTGAAATCACGTGCCGGGCAGTGGTGGTGCACACCTTTAATCCCAGCACTCAGGAGGCAGAGGCAGGTAGATCTCTGTGAGTTCAAGGCCAGCCTGGTCTCCAGAGTGAGTGCCAGGATAGGCTCCAAAGCTACACAGAGAAACCCTGTCTCAAAAAAACAAAACAAAACAAAACAAAAACCTGAAATCACAAATAATACCTCACAAAGTTATATTGGGAAACTTCAACACCCCACTCTCACCGCTGGACAGGACCACCAGACAGACACTTAACAAAGAGACAAATGAACTAAAAGAAGTTATGACCCAATTGGTATTAACAGACATCTATAGAACTTTCCATCCAAACACAAAAGAATACACTTTCATACCATCACATGGAACCTTCTCTGAAATTGGCCACATACTCGGCAACATAGCAAACCTCAACAAGTACAAAAAAAAAAATAGAATAATGCCCTGCATCTTATCAGACTAGCATGCTTTAAATTCAGAATTAAAAAAAAAACACACAAATTACAGAAAACCTACCAACTCATGGAAATTGTACAACACGCAATTGTGCCATTCCTGGGTCAAGGAAGAAATAAAGAAAGAAATTAATGCCTTCCTAGAATGCAATGAAAATGAAGACACAACATACCCAAACTCATGGAACACTTTGAAAGCAGTACTAAGAGGAAAGTTGATAGCTCTAAGTGCTCACATGAAGAAACTAGAGAATAGTCACACCAGAGAGTTAAAATCACAGCTGGAAGCTCTAGAATAAATGGAAGCAAATTCACCCCGGAGGAATAGACACCAGGAAATAATCAAACTGAGGGCAGAAACCAATTAAGTCAAAATAAAGAAAAAAATTCAAAGAATCAATGTAACAAAGAGTTGGTTATTCCAGAAAATCAACAAGATAGACAAACCTTTATCCAAACTAACCAATAGGCAGAGAGAACATGCAAATTAACAAAATCAGAAATAAAAAGGGGGACATAACAACGGACCCTGAGGAAATCCAGAGAATCTTCAGGACATACTTTGAAAACCTGTACTCCACAAAATTGGAAAATTTAAAGGAAACAGACAATTTTCTGCACAGATATCACTTACCAAAATTGAATCAAGAACAGATAAGCAACTTAAACAGATGTATAACGTCTGAGGAAATAGAAGCAGTCATATAAAGTCTCCCAAAGCAAAAACAGCCAGGTCCCAATGGCTTCAGTGCAGAATTCCACCAGAAATTCAAAGCAGAGCTAATACCAATACTCCACAAATTGTTCCACACAATAGAAGCAGAAGATCCATGGCCAAACTCTTTTTATGAGGGTACAATTACCTTGGTACCCAAGCCACACAGAGACACAACTAAGAAAGAGAACTACAGACCAATATCCCTCATGAACATAGATGTAAAAATACTCAATAAAATAATGGCAAACCAAATCCAAGAACATATCAGAAAAATCATCCACCATGATCAAGTAGGCTTCATCCCTGGGTTGCAGGGTTCGTTCAACACTTGAAAATCTATCAATGCAATCCACCATATAAGCCAACTGAAGAAGAAAAACCACATGATCATCTCACTAGATGCTGAAAAAGCCTTTGCAAAACCCAACACCCCTGCAATATAAAGGTCCTAGAGAGATCAGGAATAACAAGTACAAACCTGAACATAATAAAAACAATATTCAGTAAGCCAACAGCTAACATCAAACTAAATGGAGAGAAACTCAACATGATTCCTCTAAAATCAGGAACAAGACAAGGTTGTCCACTCTCTCCATCTCTCTTCAGTATTTTACTTGAAGTTCTAGATAGAGCAATAAGACAACAAAAGGAGATCAAGGGGATACAAATTGGAAAGGAAGAAGTCAAGCTTTCACTGTTTGCAGATGATATGATAGTGTACATAATAGAACAGCAAAACTATATCAGGGAACTTCTACAGCTGATAAACACCTTCATCAAAGGCAGGATACAAGCTCGACTATATATGGATGATAAATGTGCTGAGAAAAAGAAATCAGAGACACATCACCCTTTACAATAGCCACAAACAACATAAAATACCTTGCAGTAACACTAACCAAAAAAAATGAAAGACCTGTATCATAAGAATTTTGAGTCATTAAAGAAAAAAATTAAAGAAGATACCAGAAAATGCAAGGATCTCTCATGCTCTTGGATAGGTAGAATCAACATAGTAAAATTGGCAATCTTGCCAAAAGCAATCTACAGATTCAATGCAATCCCCATTAAAATCCCAGCACAATTCTTCACAGACCTTGAAAAAACAATTCTCAAATTTATATGAAAAAAAAGACCCAGGATAGCCAAAACAACCCTGTAAAATAGGGGAACTTCTGGAGGATTCACCATCTCTGACTTAAAGCTTTATTATAGAGCTATAGTCCTGAAAGCAGCTTGGTATTGGCACAAAAATACACAGGGAGACCAATGGCATAGAATTGAAAACCCTGATATTAACCCACACACCCATGAACACCTGATTTTTTGCAAACTTCTATTAATGATAGAAGGCCTCAGTTGAAAGTGAAAAGTAATAATTAAGTTGAAAACCATGATATAACCGGCACACCTATGAACACCTGATTTTTGACAAACAATCCAAATTTATATGCTGGAACAAAGAGAACATCTTCAACAAATGGTGTTGGCATAACTGGATGCTTGCATGTAGAAGAGTGTAGATAGATCTATGACTATCACCATGCACAAAACTTAAGTCCAAATGGACCTTAACATAAATCTAACTATACTGAAGCTATTAGACAAGGAAGTGGGAAGTACCCTTCAACACATTGGTACAGGAGGCTGTTTCCTGAACATAATACCAGAAGCACAGACACTGAGATCAACAATTAATAAATGGGACCTCCTGAAACTGAGAAGCTTCTGTAAGGCAAAGGACACAGTCAACAAGACAAAACAACAGCCCACGGATTGGGAAAAGATATTCACCAACCCCACATCCGACAGAGGGCTGATATCCAAAATTTACAAAGAACTCAAGAAGCTATTCTCCAAAACACCAAAAATCCAATTAAAAAGTGGGGTACAGAACTAAATAGACAATTCTTAATAGAGGAATCTAAAATGGCCTTAAGACACATAAGAAAGTATTCAATAAACATCCTTATCCATCAGGGAAATGAGAATCAAAACAACTCTGAGATACCATCTTACTCCTGTAAGAATGACCAAAATAAAAAACACCAATGACAGTTTATGCTGGAGAGAATGTGGAGA